GAGCCGCCGGGCCGGGCTGGGCTGTCCGAACGCTGGCGAGTCGCTTCCTTCCTTGTTCCTGGTAAATCGTGTTGTCCAGATGGGAAAATGAGCGAAATGAGCCCGCGCCCGTGGCTTCGGCAAATGGTGCCGTTTGCGTTCCGCGCTCGAGATGCAAACGCTCTTTCAGACGGGGCTTTGAGGGGGGTTCTCATCCCAGTAACTGCTGAGTGCTGGGAAATATTTCCGAGTGGTTTTGCAGGCCGTAGTGAGGGGCGCCATTGCAAGGCTCGAGAGCAAATCATTGCGTTAAATTAGGAAGACGCGGTCTGTGTTTTAAAGTCCGAGCTAGCTTCTTTACGGAAAAATTCTTGATTTTATGATTTGAAGAGGTGTGACTTAAAAACACCTGTGACTTCCTTAAAGAAGAAATACTGCGTGTTTCAAACAATGATTGACAATAATTCTGACAAAAGCCAGTTTAAACGCTTTTATTTTGAGTAGGGTTTGAATACTTGACCACATACAATTGTTGCTCATGATTTAAATATTTTTTTTAATAAATTGTACTTGGCTATCTGTTTGAAATAAAGAAATAGTCATGTGCATTTAACATAATTTTCGTGTGAAATGCTGCTGTCTGTTGTAAGCATTGTCTTATCTCTTTGTGCAAGCAGTTTGGAAAATATTTCCTTTTGTTCTTGCTTGAATTTCCACGCATAAAGCTAAGGAACTTGCTGAATTTCTTGGGGGAAAGTGAGTTAAGTAGCTGCTGTTAATTGGTCTGTGTTCTGTAGGTGCACTGTAAGGGCTAATGCTTTCTTTGTCTTGTCAGCAGCGTGGAATTTCCTTTCTTCACACTGACTTGTGTCGTTTTGGATGAAGTCTGTGTTTATCTGAAGAGAGTCATCCGGCTCAGGAGTTCTCTTCTGTGAATTCAACTGACTCTTAAGCAGGCAGCAGATTTAGTTTAAAATCCTTCACTGCGAAGTCAGTGATAAGGTTATTGTGGTTTTTTGTTCATTACTAATTTCACATAACTGGATGTGTAGAAACACCAAGCAAACTCAAATCACGGGCAAATTTACGTACTAAATACTCAGATTGAGTAGGGAAATGAATTACTCAAGAAAGATGAAGCCCTTTAGAACAGTGTCATAGTGATGGGTGTCCAGCCCAAGTGCAGGACTGGTTATGAAGAGTTCAGGTGGGCTCTGCAGTGCAGCGCGTTTGCATGCTAGCAGTTCACTGGGATGTTCAAACAGCAGTGTGCTGGAAGGAGTGTTTTCCTATTTTGACAATATACAGAATCTCTTGGGCGCGTGTTGGTCGGATAAGGTTTTGCATGCTTCTTGCCACTTAAAATAATTTAAGTAACTTAATTTATATTTTTTAAAAAGTACTCTGTAAAGTAGATCTTGCAAAAATTTGGAGCTGTGTTCAATGAAGCATAGTAGCTCTACGTCTATTAAGATTGTATTTATATATTTTTTTGAAAAACTAGATGAGCAACACCAGTAATAAGAGAGCACCAACGACAGCAACACAGAGACTTAAACAAGACTACCTTCGGATTAAGAAAGATCCAGTGCCTTATATCTGTGCAGAGCCCCTCCCATCCAACATCCTCGAATGGTAAGAACTGGAATGAACTGTCCACTCACTGTGGAGAGAACAAGATTTTCCAGGTGATCGAGTCCGATTCCCTCGCTCCTACAGGCTGCATGGGAATCTTGGTTTTGGGAGGTGGCGTGTGACACTCTTTCTGAAGTGATGTTCATCTTCAGTTTGCTAGATGAGGTGATGGCTGATTGTGTGATGGCTTTCCAACTGTTTACATTTCCTTCTCTGTCGTAGGCACTATGTTGTACGGGGACCTGAAATGACTCCCTATGAAGGTAAAAGTTAACATGTGCTTTGTTGTGATTCCCGGGCCTGAGTGATTGCATGCCTGTTGGAATGGGTGAAATGTAACTCCTGTAACCAGCTCTGAAAACTGTTAGTGCAGTTTCAAAGCTGTCTGGGACTTGTGTGAGAGCTTGTTGGAAAAAGGTAGTGGTACCACTGTCTGTTAGTAATTTTTCTGTCATCAGAGATTCTAACAAAACCACATTTAGATTAAACTGAAGACAAATGACTGCCTTTTGAGTAATTGCTAAAGGTCTTGGAGCAGATAACTCACTTCAGATAGTGTGTGACAGTCAAAGATAATTTCATAGAATCCCGTTTTGTTACAACATCAATGTTCTCAGTGGACTGAGACATATTCTCTTTGAGAATTTCTCTGGAGAAAGTGAGGTCTGTAAAAGTCTCATTAATTTGTCCCGTATTTCACAGTGTCTTCTAGAGCCTCTCACAAAATGCTTTTTGAAATCAGATTCTTCATAGAATTTGCAGTTAGCTTTGTTTCTGGAGAACGAACTCATTTGTATTGTATGAAATACACTTTGGCTGTTTTTCCTTAAGTGTATTACGGACTTGACCACAGCAAATACTGTTTGTGGTATGCATGTGAGAGAATTGCCTCCAGAGTAAATCTGCTGCAGGTGTGGATCATTGTTCCTGTGTCTTAGGGGCACAGGATGATGAGTTTGATCTCTTTTGTGTGAGAGGGAGGAGGAGACAAGGAAAAGGTTTTATTTGGCCCAGTTTGAGTAGCAGTTTAGGACTTCATTTTCATGCAAAATAAGTAATTCATGTCTTTATGTAATGCAGGTGGCTATTATCATGGGAAACTAATATTCCCCAGAGAATTTCCTTTTAAACCTCCTAGTATTTATATGATTACACCTAATGGAAGGTTTAAGTGTAATACAAGGTAAGGATTTTTTTCTAACACTTAAGCAATTAACGCCATTTTAGCAATATGCATAATGTGTAATAATTTTAATGGCACCAATGAAACACATTTCCTGTCCTTTTGAAGGTTGTGTCTTTCCATCACTGATTTCCACCCGGATACATGGAATCCAGCTTGGTCAGTCTCGACCATCTTGACGGGCCTCCTTAGTTTTATGGTGGAGAAGGGCCCCACACTGGGCAGCATAGAGACATCTGAGTTCACAGTGAGTTCCAGGCTGGGATGGACCTTTTGCCAGCTTAGGGGGTGTGGAACGTGACCGCAAAGTTACAGCAACAGCAGCAGCTGGTGTTCTGGTATTTCGGAAATGAGAACGTCGTTGCGTACCGCAGATGATGGGCAGATGAATCAAGTCAATTTTAGGTGGTGTGGGGATGCAGAGAGGATTTCTTGGAGAAGTTAAAATCCCTTTTAGTAAACAGGATGGTCAGGACTTCTTTCTCCTTCCTTCTTTCCTCTTGAAGTGTCTGCCAAGCAGGCATGCTAGTGCAGAACGCTGATCATAGAATCATAGAATGGTTTGGGTTGGAAGGGACCTCAAAGATAATCCAGTTCACCCCCCCCTGCCATGGACACCCTCCACTACACCAGGTTGCCCAAAGCCTCATCCAACCTGGCCTTGAACACTTCCAGGGATGGGGCATCTACAGTCTACATCTAATCCCATAAGGTGAAGAATTGAGAACATAAGTTATGTCTAGAAATGTCAGTTGTAGTGAATAATACTCACAAGTATGAAGCTGTAAATGTTAGGGACTAGTTGGCTAGTGATCTGCACCGTTCTTGTGGGAAATAATCAGATGTTGAATTAAAGGATGTTAACTTTGTTTATATGCAACTGCTGATAATTTTTGTTTCCTCCACAGAAAAGACAGCTTGCTGCACAAAGCTTAGCGTTTAATTTAAAAGATAAAGTCTTCTGCGAGCTGTTCCCTGATGTGGTAGAGGTAAGGGAATTCATCTATGCAGTAATTTGGTTTTCTGTAGTTTTCTATGTAATCTCTAAATTAATTGTTAAGGGCTTTTCCCAGACAGTAGCTGTTTTTGTCGATCTTGGAAGCCTTTTAAAAGGTGCTTTTGCTATGTTTAAGAGTTAAAAACTTGAATCTCGGAATTGTTTTTCTGCTGCCCAAATATCTATTGTATAGAGAATCAAAGATGTGTGTTCAGGGTTGGTGTCGTAGCCTTGACTGAGCTGCATGTGCAGCAGATGGGGTTCTGGTCCCAGTATGTTTTCTCGACTTTGGGTAGGACTAATCGTTGTGTATCTAGACTTGGTCCATCAATATTTTAGATTTCTTCTCTTAATTCTCCTTTAAGATCGGAAACTGTTACGTTCTTTCTGCTTAACTTGCGAAAATGGGTGGCATCTTTTTAGGGTATATATCTTCCTTGCACAATGCCAACCCTGTAAGTGTGTTGATACACAGTTTATATCATCTTGTGTAGGTAACAGCTGAAGGATGTTAGAAATTTGCTTTGTATGAGGTTCTGAAAATGGTTACAGACAGACAACAGTTATATAGATGGTGTAGGTTTAAGAAAGAAAGAAAAAAAAATATTACCTTGCTTCATTCAGACCTCTGGGATTCTCTGTCCAGTTTGCACTGATGATACTTGGTTCTAAAAGGTCTCGCCTCTTATGAATGAACGATGCTCCTTTCTTCATTCCTGTCTCCAGATGGTTCCTTCCCTGAGACTTCTCAGTGAATGAGTTCGATTCTGTCAGCCTGCTGTTGAGACTGAGCGTTCATTTTCTGCACACCATTTAAATAGGAACAGTTTTCTGTTATGGACTCTCTGTTATGACTCTGAAGTTGTTATAACACTGATGATTGTTGGAATTTGGAATTCTAAGTATAAAATATCTTTTGTCAGGCAAATTGTTTTGGGTTGTACATGTTTCATCAAATTGCAAGTCTTAATTGTTGCACAAAGATTATATACTGTAGAAGGGTAGGGAAAAGATGTAGAAGAGCCTTTTTTCCAGATGTTTTCTTCAGCATGAGAGATGTGTTTTTGTTAGAGATAACCTCAGATCATAAACATAGGAGCCCAGCTAGTGCAGTAAACGTTGTCCACAGACAGAAATGGACTTTCTGGGCAGAGTGGTGAGTGCTTATGGAGCTTCAGGTTTGATTCATCAATTACTGCCCTTAAAGGTATTCACAAAGCTCTAGTTTAAAAACTTTGTGAATGCTTTTAGTTGTCTCCTTTTGGGACAGCTTTCTGTGAAGAGTTTTATCTCCGTTTCCTTTCTTCTTCACGCAGATATAAATCTGAACTGAAGGTTTTAATTGCATTTTCTTATCAATAACAAGAATGCCAGATAACTGGAAATACTTCCTACAGTACCGTTTTGCCAGTACCTAAATCATCAGGAAACTCTGAAGACAACAATAGATAACTATTGTTGTGTTCCAAGTACAGGCAGATTTTTAACATGTAATACTTATAGTCCTAATCCTTCTAAGCTTCTGTGATTTCTTTCTTCATTTTTTTAATGTCTCGTGTTCAAAACAAGCTGCACATGCAAGACCTTGCAAAAAATTTTCGTTTTTGAAAAAAGGCTTCTTAGAAAACGTACATGTGAATGAAGAATGAACTTGGCCAAATAATTGTTAGTGTCAACTATTGAAGTAGATCACCTTGGAAGAAGTTGGGGAGACTGTACAAATGTATGTGATATGGTTAATTTAGTCTAAAAGACCTACAATATAAAGCGTACCGTATCATTTTCCTAAAGCTGTGTAAGAACTTGGCTTCTGAAATCTTTTCAAAACACCCAACGGCTTCACCACTTTCACCTCCAGCAATTCAGTTGTATTTTTTTCTTTCTCCAGGAGATGAAACAGAAACAGAAAGCACAAGAGGAGCTCAACAACAGACCTCCATCCCTCCCTTTACCAGATGTTGTCCCTGATGGGGAAGCACACTATGGTCAGAACGGAATACCCCTTCTTAACGGGCATGTACCATTGGCACCGGCCAACCATCCCGGTCTCCAGCAGGCCAATCGTAACCATGGACTTTTAGGTGGAGCTCTGGCGAACTTGTTTGTTATAGTTGGTTTTGCAGCCTTTGCCTACACAGTCAAGTACGTGCTGAGAAGCATAGCGCAAGAATGAGGAGGAAACCCGAGACCAAATTAGTGGTAGTTGCAGAATGAGTGGGACTCTTTGGGCATCTGACTCTGACTCTGAGATAAATACTTGTTTTGCCACGTTGCAGGAAAAACATTGGTTGGCTCATGGGTTGTGTTTGGGAAGTGGAGTAGTTTCAGTGAGTCAGAAAACTAAAAAAGTTGTTGCAAATCCTCTCGTCCTCGCTACTATCTAGTAGTGGCTCACAAACAAGTCAAAGCATTATTGATGAGACACTAACATTTCTAGTGCTTTGATTTTTATAGCAGTTCTCCATCTATTATTTGAAATTCTTCAGCAAATGAGGCTTTTTACTTCATTGAACAATTTTTAAAAATTTCACCATTTATGTATATCGTATTTTACTTCCATTAGTGAACAGTCTGTACAGGTGTTGATTGATTCAAGTAGAGGTTTCATGTGGACTTGGTGAGGGTTTGGTTAATGTGAACATTGATGCTACAGATGGCTGGTTTCTTTTTTAAAATAGAATGAACATCAGTGTGTATCTAGTCAGTAGCAATTAGATGAGTGGGGGAAGAACACCTGTGTGTTAAATGTTGTCTAAATTGTCACAATGTAATTGAAGGTTTTAGTTGAGCTACAAGAAGTGCAGTTGTTGGCCTTCAGGAATGAGGAGCAAGAAAAAGAAAACACATTTGATTGAGTCTTTAGCGAGGATACCTGTAGCCAGTATTGATTTGGATTTGCTCACTTACAGATTTCCATTTTGGGAGATGTCATATTTGAAAGCTGTAATACTTAATTTTGATCACAAGGTGCCACTGTTGAAAAAAAAAATAATAAAACTGCACACACTGATGGAGAGTTGATTGTGTATTCAGAAAATCTTCTTTGGCTTTACTGGGCTTTGGTAAATGAAGTAACCCTAGCCCTTGTGAAGATAAAAAGACAAATGAGTCTGAATAACAAACCAGCTTTTTCAGAGTCAACTGAATTAATCTGAAGTGTAACTAGCTGAAGTAAACCCTTAAAAATCAGATCTGCTTGCTTTCTTGAAGATTTGCATAAACTCTTAAAAAAAAAACCATCCACAACAACAAAAGCCAAACCCTTCTAATTTGTCTGAGGTTCTAGAAACTTTTTGCTTTTACTAAGTTCCTCACTATTCCCCTTTGGATGATGGATGACTGAAATACTGCTGTTGTTCATGGGATTACAGGGCTGTGGATAAACACTGAAGCTCCTAGGGCAGTTGAAAAGTCTGTCTGAAATGACTTTTTGAACTCAAGTTTGCTTGGCTTTTTTTCCCCCTGCTTAATTTTATCCAAATACTTTTGTTTCATCTGAGGCAAACTTCCTGTGCCTTTTGTAACTGAGTGATGCTGGTCATCCCGAGCAGAACACGCTCTCCGTTACCGTAGGACAAACTGTCCAAGGTGGTAGCAGGGTAAAAAGCTCTGCATCTCGCTGCATGGTTTTAAGTATTGTGAAGAGCCCAAATAAACATTACCTCACGTACCTAAGAATGTTTTCGAAACTGTTTCATTTGCCCTTTCAGGTTTGTTCTTTCTCTCCGCTTCTCCTCAGTGTCTTGATTTGTAAGCAAAAATGTGCTGTTAACCCATGAGCTGTGCAGCTTAGAGCATCAGTAAATGTGACCAGTTCTCTGCAATAGGTGGGAATTGCCAAAATGAGCAAAACAGCTCTGTGCTAGAGAAATCTGAAAGCACTTCTGACTGAGGGAAGGAAGGAAAGGAAAGGAGGAGGTGGGGTGTGTGGCAATGGAATTTGGAAAAGGCTGGATTTTATAATATATTTATAAATATTTGATTTTTTTTAATTTTGTGGTTTTACCAAATCTTATTTATAACTTTTTTAGTTTACCTCTTGTATGTGCTTAAGCAGCTCTTGTAAAAAGAGAAGCATCAGTTTTGTCTTTCTAGACACAGTTATGTTCTGTTGGTCTGGGGCTGTGCTGGGAAGGAAGGGGGGGTGTCATGTCTTTCCTGCAGTGACAGGATTTTCAGAATGGCTTGTCGGACTGATATCTTTTCCTCAAAGCATACGGACCTGTAGTTGAGGCCGTTCTGCCTCATAGACCTTAGTGTCATTCCAACATGTTTGTGTTCTCGCAATGGTTATTACCATTTTATTTTACCTTTTCTTACCATTGACATCGCCCACAGAGGCTTAGAATTGCTTATCTGTGTTACCTTCTTATCTTATTAAAGTTTTTGTCCACACAAGTGAAGACAAAGGCAAGGAGACCTTGGGCATGGCGTGTTTGTCTTTTGTGAAATGTACCTAACCAAGGTAAAGGGACGAGTAAAATCTGGAGATGTTGAGTAAAAGGCATTTTATTCTGTGACAAGAAGTTGGCCTTAAGCTGTACCTGGGCGTTTGAAGGTGGGTCTCTTGTTTTTAGTAAGTGCCACAATTAGAAACAAAAAAACTTTGGTTAAACCCTGGACATGCTGCATTTTTTCTGAGGATTGGTTGTATTTGAAAAATAAAACTTGTGATTGCAGTTTCTCTTCAGTACCCTGGATTCAGAGAAAGACTCGGCAGCCATTCCAGGGGCCGTTTGCTGAAAGCTGGGAGCAACAGCTGGCTGAACCCTCGCACCTGTGGCTGACAAGATTTTGATACATCTCCTTGCTCCTTGCCTTTGGTAACAGAAGATTTATTCCCTTTTGTGGAGGTATTACTGTTTTGTGGGTTTTTTTTTTTAAAGCATTTATAATAGTATGCTAATCTTTTTGTTACCAAAGTCACTAGATGGAGTAAACCATTCTTTGCCATGCAAAAATATTACCATGCCCCGAAGCAGTGCGTTACGTGATGTACTACAACTAAAAGCTGTCCTGTAGTGGGTGATACTGGGACGAGTGGCTGGCCCTTCCCTTTCATGCTGCAGTTGCATAGATTTCTGTCAAATCGTTGTACACAGGTGATGGGGAGTTTTTGCAGCTTGAATCGGAAGACAACTCAGTGGTTGCCTTTAAAGATCTCTTGATTTTTAAAATCCTGGATTTGTGTGTAGTCCTAACTTTTTCTCCCCCTAAGATTTCAAGATCAAGAAGTTACCTTACTTCAAGCATGTACTGAGGAGTAGAAATGACTGCATTGTAAAGTTGTTTGTTCATAATAAACATTCATGATAAAATTTACACTTTCTGTGGGACTGTTTTTGGGGAAGGAATCACTGGGAAGAAATCTAACTTGGATATATGTGGAGTATAAAGTGAAAACTATGGCAAAACTTCATCTCTCCCACCTCCGGATTAATTTTTAAGTTAGTTTGCTATCCCTTACATCTGTGGTAAAACACTTCCAGGAACACCAGTTACTACCACAGTTACTACCAGTTACAGGTAGTAACTTTTTAGATCTTTTGTTATTTGAAATTTCTTTCTAATTTGATGTAAGCAAGGCTTTTTTGCTTGACCAACATCTGCGAGCGCCGAGCTGTGTTGTAATTTGTTTTACGAAATGATGCGTTTTCCTTAATAATGCCAATATTTCCACCTTTTTCCTTTATTCAGAACAGTTCTTGTGCCTGGAGTTCTTTTGCACTCCATCGTTTTGACCTAGTGCTCTTCATTTTTTCAGTTGCCCTGCTTCAGGTTGTTGCAGTGCTTGTAAATTAGTAGATGAGTAAAGAACCAGCCAAGCAAGGACAGCCATGTTGCTGTATTTCAGATCCACGTAGTCACGCAGGGTTCTTGCTGTGAGGACGTTGTTCTGCCCCCCCTAGACAAGTTCTGGGGGGGGAAAAACCCCTCTTGCCTTTGCACAAATACTTGGATCGTGGGTGCCGACAGCGTGTTTTTAGCTAAGTATTGAACGGGAAACTCCTACGCAGGAGGGCAAAGAAATGGGATGATTCTCGCTTGTCTCGTGGATTCTCCAACTTGCCTTGGGTGTGTAAGTAGTCAGCAAGTGACAAGCTGTCTTTTCTTCAGAGGAGTGAGCTCATGGTTTGTAATTAGAGTTATTACCTTTTTGAATGTCTGAATAAATTTCTGCTAATAACATGTTGCTATTGATGGCTTATATCGCAGCCCTGTGACAGGATCATAGAATCATAGAATGGTTAGGGCTGGAAGGGACCTTCAAAGGTCATCTAGTCCAGCCCCCCTGCAAGGAACAGGGATATCTCCAACTGGATCAGGTTGCTCAGGGCCTCGTCCAACCTGGCCTTGAACGTCTCCAGGGATGGAGCATCCACCACCTCTCTGGGCAACCTGTTCCAGTGTTCTCCAACTCTCATGGTAAAAAATTTTTTCCTAATATCCAATCTGAATCTACCTCCCTCTATTTTAAACGGGATGATGGATCGTGTACCAGATGATACTTTTTTTTGCTGCCCAGCGAAGGCTGGATCTTAAAGCAGAAGAATCATGTTTTCCGTGGAAAAAACGGCTACACAGGCAGAGGGAAGGGAGGCTCTGGGATGTGAACTCAAAGCATCGACATCTCATGTTATCGAAAAGGCTTTTCTGGGCAGCGAACGAGGATGACTTGTCGGGGTTTGCTAGGAGCCTTTTAGCGGGAAGAGCTGCCCCCAGCACCGCTCCTTCCCACCTCGGTGACTCCGCAGAGCCCACTGCGACAGAAGCCTCGGGAGCCCCGCTTTTCCCGGGGGCTCGGTGTTTCCGTGGCTTTGCCGGGAGGTGGCGTAGCCATCCCGCGGGACCGTGAGCCAGCGGCCGCGCGGGGTGCGGGCAGCTCCAGAGGGATTTTGGAGAAGGCGGCTGAAGAGGCCATAAGCTCTTGGTCTGTCTTCCCAAAGCAGCTCTTTTTTTTTCCTACCGGTGTGTTTAGGTTTGTTCTAACAGCTTTTGTTTATTAACCCGTTATTATTAAATGATTTGTTTGTGTTTATTAAGCTGGAGTTTATGTCGGATTAGCGTTGGGAAATTTTAGATTTAGACCTGAGGGATCTATCATAGGAGTGCTCTAGACCCTTATCTGCTGCAAAGCGGGGGGGGGTGTGTGTCAGGGAATGGTCATGTGCCACCTTCTGTAGTGGCTTAAAAAAAAAAATCACTCTGTACCACAGCTTAGGATTTGTTCAGTGTATCTACAATGGGCAACTCTAGGAAAATCCTAGCTTTTGACCTTTTCCCCTTTGGATGTTCTTAGCATAGTTTGGAAAAGTCTGCCTTGAGTAAAAGGCAAATTGCGTAAGTAGAGATCGCAAGATCAAATCACAAGTTTCTTGCCTGGCTGTTCAGTTTCCTCTCCAGCTTTACACGTGCTTCTTACAGCGTTTGCAAACGCGGTGTTTGGGTTCTTGCACACAATTCTGAAATGTACAGGTGACTTCTTGTAATATCTTCCCTACTTCAAAACTTCCCTCGTGCAGAATTGGTATTGTTACATCCTCAACTATTCCCGTTATTGCTGCAATGGTGCTGAGCTCAGAGGAGAAACTATTTGTCTTTCCAGCCCATTTGAGATCCCTGGTTTCTTGTGCTATTAAGTGCAGCATCGGCCTATTCCTATTTTTTTTTTGCAAATGGGGGTTGAATGATGTTCATGCATTGGCAAGACTCGGATGCTTTGGAGCTGCTGCAACTAGGATGCATGAACAGCAGCAGCCAGGTGTGCGTTTGTCTATGGATAATACTAACACTGAATTGGAGGTTGGAGGAGAGGTAACAACTGGGATGACACTTGTTTCCGCCCAGCATAGACAAAAGTATACAGCTGGGAGTTATCTCCAGTCATTTTGTGCCACTGGACCGTGAAGTAACTTCGCCTTGTGCCTGCAAATGTGATTAGGATTCATTTTCCCCAAATCTGAGGATACAGCCTTGGGATGGGAAAGGAGATGATGCAGCCAGCATCAGCAGACCAAAAAAGCAATTGCCCCATTCCAGCCTTGAATGTCATTTCTTGCCATGGTGTGTGGATCTGTCAAGCTGTTTAGCTGCAATATGACAGATTGTCCTATTAATGTGTCATCAAGTGCACTTTTACAAATTCATGGCTTGTCTACAACTAACCTGAAAAAAGAGGCTTAAGTATGAGAAGGCGCCAAAGAAAGTTAAATATTATTAACAAATAAAGTCTGCCACGTAGTTTTGATGGAATGTGAGCTAGTTGGGGGAGGGGTGATATGCTGTTAACTATTTAGTGCCTGTGTAACTCCCCTTTTTACTCTCTTCTCTTTCCCAAACTCAATTTCTCTCAAAAGATGCTTTAAAAAAACATAATCTGTATTCTACTTCTTGATTTTGCACTCAGGTTGTTCATGCCTCAGTTTCCCTGAGCCATAGATAAGAGAGCTGTTGCTCCTCAACCACCCTGGCTGCCTTTAAAGTCCCATGAAGAGCTGTGCTGGCATTATTGCTTGGATTACAGAAGGCATAGTGAAGAGATTGTTAAACGAAAGCAAATCTGTTGCTTCTTGACTGCGTAAGGGGCTTCAAATGATGTGATCTTCAACCTTCAATCATTCTTGGACTTTCTCATGGTACAATCTTGGATAAATTTTTGCATCGCTGTCCATGTTTGCAGGAAGAACAGGAATATTTGCTCTGGGTGGTGGGGAACTGACAAAGATTTGCAGACTGTCCAAGTACTTGAAGGTGTCCCTTATGAAATGCCTGTAGGAGATGTGTAACCTTTGGGTTTCTGTTACTTTTAATAAACAGCCCACCCTCCTGTAAAGAAATGAGAGAGCCCCCACTGAGCCAGCCCCTGATGAGAGCTGGGGGGAAACGTTGCACGGAGCACAGCTAACTGGAGTACAAAGCCAGAGTCCTGACGTATCGATGTGTGGTGCGATGCTGAGTGCATATTCCAAGCCACATATTTTTAGCTCTACCACACGCTCGTGTACAGTTTTACAAACTTCCCAGAAAAATGGTGATTTCTCGGAGATAATGAAGGGGAGGTACAGAATAGGACTGAGGGGAGGGAGCAGGGAACGGGCATTGATTTAAATCTGCCTGGCACACGGGCCAGCTCCACTTATCAGTGAGTCTAATAGGAATGTGAAGAGAATAGGCTTGACAGCTCATTAGAATGTGATCCCTCCTCCTTTTTTCTTTTTCTTTTTTTTTTTTTTTTTCCCCTTTCTTGAAGTTGATGGAAACTCATTCAGGAAAGAAGTACTTATTTGCTGAGGTAAAGCAAAAGCTGAAGAGGGTTTTGCCAGTGTGCAGCTGGGAAAGGAGCAGCGAGAAAAATCAGATGTGATCTACACTCAGAGGCACCTGAAATCTTGCCTAGTGTGAGGGGAGGTGAGGATGAAAGAGACACGAGATTCTACATCCTGACAGCTGCTTGCGGCATCGAGACTTGCTGCTCATCGTCTCATTAAAGAAAAGTGAAGATAAACCCAGCTAAAGAAGGAGAGAAGCTAGACTTGGGAAAACTTTATCTGCTCCTAATGGACCTAGGTACATCTTCAGATTCTTTGCTTCTCCCTGTTTTAGCTTTTATGATATGAGAAATTCATTTTCTTAGAAGACTGAGCACTTGGCTGAGCTGTGATGCTTTCAGCCTCTTCAGAAGAGCCGTGGCTGTAGCAGCCTTGGGTTACAGTTCCAGCATCTTGAAAGAAAAGGATGAGGACTTGTCACTGAGGAAAGGGAAGTATCATTCAAGAGAGAATGGATGGAACGTACTGAAGCCTGCTTTGAACTGAACACAGTGCTTCAATGACAGAAAGTGAAATCTCCTGTTGAAGAGGAACAACCTGACAACTCCTCTAATGAGTTTGTGTTGTCAGCTCCGGCCTGAGCAACTGTTGCCCTGAGCAATTTGACTTCTCCAGGTTTCATAGTTGAGTGCATTTTAAACGAGTCTGAAGACTTATTGGGGGCTGGGGGGAGCGACACTTCAAGGTGGGTGGCAGGACTTTCCAGGGCCCCTTGTATTTATGTAAGCTTCAAGAGGCTGAATGGACTTACCTCTTTCTTCGAGTGAATCCAGATTTTCAGACAAGTTTATCTATACCATTTCCATGTGTCCTGCTTGAACAGAGATCTCTCCAGCAACCAGCGCATCAGTGCATGCTGCTCGTTTGACATTGCATAGCCCAGAGGATCATCTTTACTAGTTCTAATATTTTTATTGTTTTATTTTTTTAGAGAGAAGTCTGTGTCTATTCCTATTATTGGTGGTGAAGGGTTTTGTGCTTGGAGAGTGCTCTTCCTGACTTGGCCCCTCCCTTTTCAAAATGAAGGGGTGCACCTGGGTATTTGTGGCGACTTTACTTTGTCAGCAGTTTTGCCTCTTCAGAGTTGTGGCAGCAAAGAGAGAGAGAAAGATGAAGAAAGAACCTTATCAGTATACAGAGCCATTCAATGCTACCCTCTCAAACAGTGAAGAACTGCATGGGCATCCCAAGGTGGGTGTTTATGTGTTGTCACAGCTTGGTAGAACTTGTTTCTGGCAGTAATGTGATGCTGTTTCCTTTTTCCAATGATGGAGACAATCTTGCTAAATTCTGTTTGATTTTAAAGAGAAATGTTCTGTCTTTTGCCTTTGCATGACTGATTTTCCAGCTTACTGAAGCAAACGCTGGAATACTGTAATTTATGATTACAGTTTATTTTAGAATATGCATGACCGAGTTCCAGTCCCATAGTAGCTGACTAAATGTAAAGACATTCTGGAGTTCTAGTGCATGAACACTATCCTGTTCAGAAACAACGGACTAAAAAAAGGCAAATGGGCTATCACAGTACAAGAATGATACTGGAATATTAATGTATCTCTTACAGGCAAACCCTTTACTCTCTGGAACGTTATTTCAAAACTGTCTTAGGCAACAGTATAAACACCTGGGCATGCCTGAGCTTTCTCTGCACTGTACCTTCCACCAGAGAGTCTGTGGTGGTTGAAAATTACAGATGAGCAAAATTTTGGTGTAGTCAGATGGTCTGTTTAAGGTGATGGTGGGTCTTGTAGGAAAGGATTCAGGATGATGCTAACTGTGTGCAAGTGGTGAGCGTTAGACTGTGTGTGTGGTATCTCAATGGCTGTAGCTGATCACTCGCTAGGCTTAGTGAGTGATTTTGCAGGGTCCTTCCAGCTGCATGTTTGGGAGCATCACTCCAGGCTGAAAGCCACAAAAAATTCCCAGTCAATTGATCAGAGCCCTCAGAATCCTGAAAGATAAAAATATGCATTGAATGCTTGGGAGTAGGAGAGGGAGCTAGGGAATTAAAAGCAGGTCCTAGGATTAGGAGCAGGATGAAATGGAAGGTAGACTACAACACTGAGAAGGAGGGAGTCTCCCCTATCACACCACCCTTTCTCTCTCTCTCTGCTTTCCCTCCCACCCCTCCAACCCCTGCTCACACAAAAATGTCCCTTGTTTCCAATGGAGGTGACCTCTAAAATATGACTTTGATCACAAGCATTAGGGCTGGCAGTCACTATAGCAATAGAGGAGCAAACCTGTCGAAAATTGGGGCATGGCAGAAGGGGCAAGTTAGAACAATTGGGCTGACATTCTAAATATCCTGTTCAATGCTGTTGTGAGAGTAATTGGTTAAGGTTGGGCAAGTCTGGGAAACAGTCCTCTGTATAAAAAAGCTGGCTGCTGCACTTAAAATTATCATTAGGGGACTGTAAGCAGCGTTTCTTCAGCTAATTTTTTGTTGTGTGTTGCAGGGCTCTGTCAGGACAGGTTGTATACATGCTGAATTCTTGAGGTGCTTATAATCAATCATTTTCTTCTACTCGCTCCAGAACTGCTTCATCCTGCTTTTGTAAAAGGGGCCACTTACGTATCTGGTGCAAGTAAATTTCAGTCTATTCTGGAATGAATTTGGCTTGATGTGAAATGTATTGGACTGCAAGCAGAATATATTCTGATTGCAAAAGCAAGCAGAAACTGGTCCTGGTTAATTCTGATATGGTCATACAGACGTTATTGCTAGAAGAAACGCAGTACTCCTTTGGAGGCTAGTGGGCATTCATTAAAACAGACATTGTTTGGAAGCTGCAGTTTCTGTGTTGAAACACTTTGCTTGAAAATATCCATGGCAAAAGTTTGGCTGCAGTTAAGAGCTGGCGAGTTCAGCGAAGGCAGGTTCTGTTTAACACGGATAGGACGAAACCAAATCTTTGATGTAACTGCTTATGTGCTCTGCTTGATATCCACTCCCAAATTTTGCAATGTGAACTTTTCTCTATTTGAGCTCGAAGTCCAGGCTCTAGTTCAGTATTGCTTCTAAATGTCATGAGTGGTTGTACTGTATTTTATATTTATGTAGCACCTGCCCAAGCTAAGGGATTATTTTGCACATACCACAAATGCAACGCTTAAGAATTGCCACCATTTCTGAGGTAGATGACAGTTGCCATTTACAGCAAAGCATCACAATTTGTATTCACTAAGGGAAGAAGTAAAGTAATAGAGAAGTAAGATCAAGTTAAGGGAAGGTTGAAAGCAGTTCTCTATGGAACACAGATCTCTGAGCCTTGAAGATATCTCTGTGAGCAGTTTTGTTTCATGGAAGGATACCCTGCATGGGGAAGTGAAACAGCAGCAGTGTCCCATTTAATTTCTCTACAGCACATAACAGGAAAGATGGAATCTTTTTCGGTCTTGTGCAGTAAAAATTACGGCTGTCTTTACCTTGGAAGACTCTGTGGGCGGCTGGTAGGTTTATCAAAGCAGAAGGAGCAGGGAATGAAATATTAGCTGAGAGTAGTGATTTTTATTCATTCTGTATGTATACAAAAGGTAGATGTGTTTTCCTTCTAATTAAGCAAAACAATTGGGACAAATTTCTCTTGGGAATTCTTTTCAAATAGGAGTAAAGAAAGCTCTCCTTTAACATTCACAGTGCATGAATCATGTGGTGAAACTTCTACCTAAAACAGGGAAGCAGAAGTCTCAAATCTCCTGATAAACCTGATATTTCCAAGGAAATAGTGAGTGTGGTGGGTTTTCTTGTTTTTTTAACATAAGTTTTTCTTCAGTCTTATCTTTGCTGAGTTGCTGTCAATGTGATGTGCTTGCCAAGCACATGAGTGTTCTTCTCTGATGCAGATGGACTAAGAGAGCAAGGAGAAGATGACTGATGGATACAGAGATTTTAGTCTACTGGACCTTCTTTCTGTGACTGTGTGTGGCTGAGTGCCTGCAGCTGCTACCTGCCAGGCTTGCCTTCCCCTTTCCAGGCACAGATCTTGTCTTGCAGATGCAATATTATACTAACAGAGATTCTGCAGTAGTAGGTTGTCCAGTGGTTATATAGGATTGACACTGTTCAGGAGTTACCATATGATACCTGAGTAAAGGGAATAAAAATGGAGTCAGATGCTTAATGCCCAGTGAAAGGACGAGATGAAGTGGCTCGAAGTTGTAATACAGGAAATTCCACTTAAACATAAGAAAAAAAGCTTCTTTACTGTGAGGGTGGTCAAACACTGGAAAAGGCTGGACAAGAGAGGCTGTGGAGTCTCCATCCTTGGAGACAGCCAAAACCTCACTGCACTTGTCCGGAGTGATCTGCAGTAGTTCACCTGCTTAAAGCAGGGGATGTTGAACTAGACAATCTGTGGATGTCCCTTCCAACTTCAGCTGTTCTGTGAGCTGCTTTTTGGAGCATTTCAGCTAAGCAACTCGAAGGCAGCATCCTAACCTGGGGAAAATTATTGACACAGTGTCCCAGTGAAATTTCAGGGATGATTTGAGGTCAACGGGATTTTACCTTCAGTGGAATTTCTGCAAGAAATAGTGTAACTTTTTAAATTTATTTACCTGCTACGTAGCCAAGGATAGAATCATAGAATGGTTAGGGCTGGAAGGGACCTTCAAAGGTCATCTAGTCCAACCCCCCTGCAAGGAACAGGGATATCTCCAACTAGATCAGGTTGCTCAGGGCCTTGTCCAACCTGGCCTTGAAGGAGTCCTTGAGATTTTATTTCCTTTGTGATCTTCTGTCTCTCAAATATCTAGGGCTAGGTCTACCTGGTTTATTACTTAAATCTCTTTGAATTATAGCTTTGGAGCCTTTTGCTTCCAATTGAAAACAGCAGCTGGTTCAATGACGTTGCTCAGATTGCATTCCTCCTCTGTAGAAGAGATTTCAGTCTTAGCCTGAAGTGTGTGATTGCATGTGTAATTCAGAAAAGTATTTTTGGGCGTGACAAGCATTGAAGCCATGGGAGAGACTGGACTGTGACCTCTCTGTAGTAGAAGATGTTGTCTTTCATGTTTTGTGTCTGTCAACATTGTCAGTCTTGCTCTGACACATTAGGAACAAGAAGGGCTGTAACAAATAACATGCTTCCTAGCAATTCCTTGTGGCCCATGTAAAATAATATTGGATTCATACATCTGACTCAGCATATCAAATAATTTAGTGCTTGGTCTCATTTCTGAGACCTGTATGTCAGATTTTTAATGTTCATTATTAAAGTATGTAGTTCAACATCCAATGTGGTTTTGTGTGCTAGATGTGTTGGGCTACTACTGTTCTCTTGGTGCTGTTCAGTTCCTTACCTCTTCGTGGTATCCCTAAAACCAGGTCTCTACTGGTACAGCCAGGGGTGGCACTGATTATTGTTGCAGTACACATAACACAGCAACAAACATGTGGTTTTCTCACCCAGAGTAGCTCTTGCTCACGTGAACTGTTCCGTTAGATTCATTAAATTCATTATGGGTGTGGCCACTGAAGGCAGCTGGTGTTTAAGTGGAGGGGAGAAGCTTTTGGAGATAGCCATTTAGAGGAGTGAAGAATAATTTTTCAATCACAAAACATAGTGGGAATTTAGGTAGGAATTCCATTTCAGATTTGGCTAAGATACCAAACCTAACGCTTCTGCTCTAGGGAAAATTCTTGAGAGAACTGTAAAAACCACAAGTGGTCAGGACCTTGGGTTTACATCTCATTAATAACCAAGAGTGTGTATAACCATGAGTGTATATTACCATAAGTTAGTAGCAGCTGACATAGGATTTTTCATGCTAAAAAAACCCCAGACCTGCCACTTTTTAACCTGTTCCAAAGAAAATACACTGCTGAAATAAAGAATTTGCTCCTAATTTCATAATGAAGTTAGAAAATACTCTTGGTGTAAATCAGATATAACAACATAGAAATCTGTGGATTAAGATAATTGAAATGCTTAGTCAGGTTCTTTTTGTGCCTGGCAACTGCTTAACTATTAAGAAAAGAATTCTTAAATATAATTCCATCACAGATGGACAAATACATGGATAACTTTGAGCAAAGCTTACAGGGCAGTAACTTAAGTATATAAAGACTGTGGACTGGAATGGCTAGGTATATGTTCTTGGGCACACATCTCTGACTCATTGCAGGTGGAAAGGATGCTGTCCTCTCACAAAATTGTAACCTTTTGTGCTTTCTTTCCATCCTGTCCCACCCGAGAAGTGCTCAGGTGTGCCTGAGAATGCTCCGAGATGCTTTTAGGCGTACAGTCTTGCTCACAGGTAGTGTTGACTTTTTTCTTTCATTAATCCAGAATCTGAAACTACTTTTGTCCATTTCACTTTGATTTTTAGCAGAGATGCGGACTGGATTCCAGTATCCTTGAATTTCATGAAAGTTCAGATACAGTTCAGCAATTTCTCAGGATCCAAACTCCGTAGGTTTCTGCTAGTCGTTTCTTTCATGCTGGCCGAATCTTGGCCAGAGACTGTGTGTGTCTCTGGGCAGTGCGTGCCCTTCTGCGAGTTAGAGCCAGGAGGTACTGCAGGTTCTGCTTGTGTGCAGCAGCCCAAATCACAGCTCAACTTGTCTTCTGTTGTGAGGGAAGTTAGGGAGAGAGGGGGCTAATTTCTCACCAGTGTCAAACTGGTTCTGAAGTGATAGGTGCCATCGTATTCGGATTCCAAAGTAATGTTAAAAGACCTGATTGAAAGTTCATTAAAAATTGCTGGCAAGGCTTCTGTTGATTTTGGAGGTATTGTTTCAAGCGTTAAGGAGTGAGCCTGGTTTCACTGTAGCTAACGTGAGGATTCCTCCTGACTCCTGCAGGTTAGCTTTGCTCTGTAAACAGCACCCCAGGAGGGACGAGTCTACTTTGCTGGGATTCCAAGGCTGTTCTCAGTCCTGACTGATACCGAGTTGGCTGCAAGGTCCCTCTGGCTGCTGGAGGCTGCTGCTGCCAAGAAAAATAGAGGCTTGCATGCTTATTGCTGGGATTGCTCATGCATGCCATAGTAATTAAATAATAATACCACAAGGATGGAACATTCATTTTAACTGTCAATCATCCTTGTGCTGGAGAAATTGGGGAGTGCCATGATTGTCTTGTAGAGGGATTTGTAATTTAAGCAAGCCAGTGGAGAGGTATGGGATTTTTTTATTATTTTTTAAAAAAACTTCAGGAGTTTTTCATTTATTTTTCTGGGATGTGTCATCTGGGTTTCTATTTTCTCCCTGACAAGATGTCTGCTCTGGCCTGTTTCTTCACAGCTGGAGCTCCAGAAAGTCTGAGGACATCTGTTTGTCTTCACAGTTAATGGTCAGAGTCTGCCCGTGATTGCTGGCTTCTGCTTCTAGCTGGCCTGTTTCCTCATTTTTGCAGTGAAGGGGAGTTTACGCCTGTCTTGCAGCCTGGTGGAAACCAGGAATAGTCTCTTCCACATCTGCAGCAAATACTGCATCCCGGTTCCTAAGACTCTGGTCTTGTGTTTGCTGTGTTCTGGAGACTGCGCTTCTGAGTTCCTGCCACAGGAGCCAGCCCATTTTGAAGGATGAACTGATTTTATTTTCCTTTTCTCTGCAACCCAGCTGTTCTTTTGCTGACTTCTGTTACAGCACTGAGGGAATACTCCATCCTGACCGAGTTGGGTGCTGCTGTTAATAAGTTGCTTCTTTCTGTTTTGTGAACTGCACTGCAGCTTTACCACAGACCTGTCAGTCCCAGTCACTGAGACAAAAGATATCTGTGTCCTTTGGGCAAAGCACGGGTAGGCTTTTACCTGCTTTACATTTATGAGCTTTTTTAACTTAAATGCTCGTAAACACAGTCCTTTGCAGATGTGACCTCGTGCGTGGTGGTGGTGCACCCATCTGTTTTCAGATTAAGTGGGGTAGGACAGAACTAGCTTCTCTCATCAGAAACCATTAAATCTACATGAAACTCTAAGTAAATTTCGTGTTTCTTGTAGAAATAAGCTGCACCTCATGTGCTATTCTAAGGACTTTTGCAAACTTTATGAACGTTTGCCTCTGGACTTGATGTTTACATGATACAGTAGATGGGAGAGGTTTGCACTAAAGGACCTTCTTGGCCCGTCTTTGACTTCTTTCTCGTGCTTAGCAAAAACCTGTAGTCAAGCAATCTGTGGGAAGATGATAATGTTTTATTGAGGTGACTAATTTCACAATGCCTGGGATTTCCTATGGTGCTCCATTTACGTTACTTTCCAATGGAATTTCGGAAAGCTATTTAAGTCCTGGGTGCAATAAGTAAAAAGGCAAATAATAATTCAGCTAAAACAACCTACTAGAACCCCTTGACTAAACATGAAATTTACAGCTGACTGTAAATGTGATTATAAACATAAATAGTCTGTTCAAGACTGATTTTGATACAGAAGTAATGAACTAGATTGTTATGAATAGTTTTTCTTGCTCTCGTTTGTGATACATGCTAAATTTGAGCACCAGGAGAGTGTGCAAACCCATAACTCTGGCTCTTATTAATTACAGTAGAATGCATGAACGATACGGTGAAATGTCTCGGGATATCCTTGCTTTGGCTTAAAGCATAGACACCAGCTACTCTGCAGCCATCTATCTGGAGGGGAGGATAAGTGACTGCCTGAAGAGAGCGATTCAATAGGAGCAGATCTTTCTCTGGGTTGTGTCTGAGCAGTAAATAACCTAAGATTATGTGCTGAGTAGAGACGATGGAGTTGGCTTCACAGAGTTTGAGATGGATGTTTAACTAATACCCTTGCTCAGCTCACAACACATCAGATTTCTGGGGAGCTGCTCATAGTCTGCTGGTTTGTAAATCATCTGTTGACCCAAGCTGTTTGAAATAAATAGTTATGATCACATCAGCTCAGAAATCTATGGACAAGTGCCTTGTACTACACCCGTGTGGCTGGATGCATGCCGGAGAGAGAGCTTTCCAGGCTCTCCATCAGCTTAGAAGCACCAACATTCCTTGTAACCTCAAGCTGGAACTCAGCAGACTTCTAAGATCTAATTTTGAAACAATTCATGCTGCATGGATTTTTCATACCAGATCACACAGACTGGTCTTTTCTCCTTACAGTGGGCTTGCCCAGATATTTCTAGCTAAAATTTGCAATCCGCTGTCCAATTCCTGTTGCCCTTAGACAGTGACATATATTGGAGTTCTTGGGACCTGAGCTCTACCTGCATTCTAGAAGTTAACTGTTTTCTACACACTTCTGTGGACTGTTTGATGAAAGGGAATCTATGCTTATAACTGGTACTAGGAATTTTATTAAAACTCAATATGATTCTCTGAGAAGTGAGAGTGCTTTAGGAAGCCAGGTGAGACAGGCAATGAGCACATGTAGATGTGTTTGCTAATTTGACTGCATTGGAAGCACCTTGCAATGTCACCGTTTACTGTTAAGGCCACTGAAGGCAAAGCTATGGTCTGAGCTGTGGCAGAACTGTCTAGTGCTGTCAGACCAGTAGAAGCTTGATACCAAGGGGCAAACACTTCTAGATCTGAAAAGTGCACTATTGACTGAGTTTGCGTCTGTGCTTTTTCCACACCCATCTTGTTTCCTTCCTCCTGAGTGGTGACAGGTCAGTATTGATTTACCTAAACTTTGACTTTGAATACTTAAGTATGGTTCATGAAACTTTAGAAGGGCTTGTGCTTTTTTCCTTACTGTGATGGACATTTGGGAGGCTGATGTGTCAACAGATTGGAACCTCCATAGTCAGCAGTTAATTGCCCTTGACAAGAGTGTGGCAGGGTATTAGTAACCAATGATTTCTGGTGCCTTTTTTTAATTTAAAGTTAGAAGTTCCTTCCTAGCCTAGGAGGGAAAACTACAGGAATGGCTATTCGATTACTTCTGGTTGTCTCTGGGAGGTGAGTAATGGGAACAAGGGAGTCCTATAGGAAGTGGACACAAATTCATAAAGACAGATCCTCTCTTCTGTCCAGACTTCATTTAGAAGGGATCCAGAACTAGGCACTGTAATGTCAGAGCTTCTCTAGGTAATTTGCTATGGCTGTGATATACTTGCAGAACACAGGAATGGGCAAGATAGTTAAATTTGCCAGTGGACATCTTTTCTGTGATCAGACATGGGCTTTGCTTTTCACTGTGAATTGTTTGCTTTTTCTGTGTGCGCGTTTGTCACTCTACAGCCTGTGATTTGAAAATTATGGAGCATTTAAAGGTTTTCTGTACGTTTTAATCTCCCTTTATTGCTTGATTGATCTGACTGATAAATGTCAGATGTCAGTGGTGAACCATCTCTGGTGTCTGGGCAGGTTTCCTGTGGCATGTATTAGAACTGTCAGAGGGCAGAGAGGCTCAGCAGCTTGAGAAAGATATTTGAGGTATACTGGCTCCCAGTTCTTGGCTCTTACTGATTTCTTAAGCAAAGAGAGCTGGGATGCCCTGCAGGTGATAGCATATGAGGTTATAAGAAGGCATTTTGATGCTTTAAGGGCAGCATCTTTTGGCTTTTGGGACGTTTCTGCTGGCAGACTTAGCCTGTAACTTATGAAGAAAAAAATCCTGCTCTAATGGGACTCTTTGAAAGGCTGGTGTTTTTCATACACTGTGTCAGAACTCAGATTGAAGTACTATCCTGCATTTGCAATGCTCCTGAGTATGAAGACAAAAAGTGTCATGGTACTGAATAATCCAAACTGAGTTGCTTGTTACAGAAGTGTAAAATCCCATTTTATCCCACCTTCAATGCCATCCCAAATGCAGTACTTTTGGAGCAAGGATGTGGTTTAGGCAGCAGACAGCAGCCTGAAAACTTTACATTCTCTGAATCCATGTAGTGGCCGAAGAGATACAGTGATATCAGTCTTTGTTCTTGTTTCTCTTTAGATTCTAGAATCTCCAGATCCTCGAATCACAGATCCACGGCGGACCTGGATCTCCTTTGTTCACCGCCCAGATGATGGCAATACCTCTAAAAGGAGATGCAAAGGGAAAGACAAGAAATTAGTAGGTCATTGCTAGATTGCCATCAGCTAATAAATGTGCACCATGGCTTCCCTTCCTACTGCTGATATACAAGGTGTTTTGTGTGCTCCAACTTTTGCCTTCCCACCCAAGAGAGTGCTGTGTTTCCTTTTGTTTGTGTTTAATTTCTCAAAGTATTTTGGAGAAGTTTGAGACAGTAAGTGCCATATGCTTTGTCAGATGAAGTATGTGAATTCCACTGTCAACATTCATTTTTGTTTAAACTAGCTATTTCTTGGACTGAGCCTGTTTTATTTTTTTACTGCTCAATAGAAATAAAATTAGCATTTATTTCTTCCATTAGATAAAGTCCAGGTATCTCAAAGGATATATTAATCAAGGTGTGGACAAGTAATTTATTTCAAATTAATGAATTACTGACAATCTGCTGAGTGATACTCGATTGTGTGTGCACTTTTAATCTGCTGCTTAGACAATCTTGATGCTTTTAATGATTTCCTTTTGTTTCTCAGTGAGCTGATAGGCAAGACTGCTTCCATGCAGGTTTACTGCAGTTTAGTTGAAGAAATAGGAACTCTCTGAGAACAATTTACATCAAAGTCACACCAATAACACTGTTGCACGTTTGTACTACTAGTCTAAAGCTCTGCCATGTGTGTGGCTAACCTTTACAGCTATTTTGAATAAACCGTTTCATTTTTTCTGAGAGCTCTACTGTTGCACCAAACATTCACGTATGCGATCGTTATTTCTAAACGATATATATTAATGATGTGAAGTGTGGCTAGATGGCTTTTCTAGGTAGTGAACAGGCAGAATAAGAAGCTTAAAAGTTAAAATGTTGCTTTGGTGATACGAGAAGATACAGAAGCAGCAAACTTAGTCTTGTGCCTGTTGTGCTTCACGTTGTATGTGTGTACTTGAAGATCCAGTTAGTGTTTACCTGAGCAAAGTTTATCCTCCCACACAAAGACATGAACAAATTCCAAGTGCTGGAATTCACAGCTGGCTGGAGAGTCAGTTTAAGATTGACTGCATCAGGCCTGTAGTTGAACTGTTAGTGGAGGGGGCTACTCATGTGGCTAACAGCTCTGTAGAACTGGCTCATGACTGGGAGAATTTTTGGCCTGTCAGTGCAGTTGCCTGGTTCTAATTCACATGTTTTTCTTTGGTTACTTCCTTAGCGTGGCCTTGTTGGGCCCCCAGGACCTCCTGGCCCCCAGGGACCTCCAGGAGCACCTGGTGCTGAAGTCACCCGGGAAGTCCTTCTGCAGGAGTTTAAGGAGATATTAAAAGGTAAAAACTGTAAGAGCTTTGTGCTTTGGTGATCTGCTTTTTTTCTGGTAAGCACCACAGCAAATAAAGAACTGGTTTTGCAAATGTTTACCTTAAAGCATTGCCCTATTTGGTGACCGAAATTTTGAAAAAATGTTTCCACAGCGCTTAGTTTGAGTTGAAGAGTTGAGTGCAGAAGTCTAATCACACAACTAATGGCTTCATAGACCAGACTCTTAAGCTAAGCTTTTATCTTCCTATACTTTTTCTTTTCTCCTCAGAAGCCATTGAGCGTCGAGCATCCCTGGCGATTTCAGCCCATCCTAGCCAGCTGCCTCCACTGCTCTTCTCCTTGGAGGAAGTTTCACCCCACAGACGTGTAGAGGAGGCATTCCATTGCAAGCTAAAAGGACAAGTCACTGTAGATAAGAAGACCCTGGTAGAACTTCAGAACTTCCAGTCGGTGAGAAGGGATTACAGACTGAACCTGTGCAACTCCACAACAGCCATTGTGCGTAGATCAGCTGTAGTTTCCCTAGTCTGCAAAGGTGCTAGGAGGCTCTGTAGATAAAGGTGTTTCCTGAAAGGGCAGACTAATCCCAGAAGCTTGTCTCAGGCTCAGATGCTGTGAATATTGCATTACCTTTTTTGTGATTGACAGAAGTAGGATCTCATATGGTGATTTCAGCACTGAAGCTCAGTTGAAGCAAGATGTACGTTTGGCTTTGAGTCCTCTCCTTCCTGACAAATCCAAGAGACAGACTTTCCTCCTCTCTTGTAGCCCAGCTGAATTTCATTACAGTTCTTACTGGAGTTCTAACAGGTCTGTGCAAGAGAGGGCTGTCTCGCAGGTCCAAACAACAGTCAGTCTTTTTATTTCAGTTAATGATGGAGAAAGACTTGTCCATGTTTGGCACTAGTCTGAAGAATTTGTTCTTTTTTTTCAGTGCACACCCTGTTTAATTCCAGAGTAGCCTTCAGATGTAGAAAAATGTCAGAGACAGAAGCCATTGGTTATAGATTTGTGAGCTCAAATAAGAGCCATCACTTTGTTAGATGGGCCAGTTCTGACACTCAAATTCTTTATGTAATGTTTTATAGAAGACTAATAAATGTTACCTATATAATTTCATTATAGTCATGTTATAAAGACGAGCACACCATCATGGGATGTTGTAGGTCATTATAAGCATGGTTACAAGCAAGCTGTTGAATTTTATATTAAAACTTCTACCAAGCATTTCTGAACCAGTTGCAAATAGGATCTGAATTTGAAGTATAAACGTTAGGCAAAATAATAGCTAAAAACAAATAGTTACTCTGGTAATTGAAGAGACTTATTTTAGACTTTGAAATCACAAAGACTGTCTAATAGCACAAGGCCTTCAGATACGTGGTTGTGTTTGTGATGTGACAAGAAGAGTTTGAAGAGTATAAGCAGGGTGTATGGCTTTCTATCAGCAGGATTTGCTAACACTGTCCATGCAGTAAGGTGTTGAGCTTTCTTCACAGCTGCACTGAGTCCTATTTCTGAAGAATCCTGCCCAGCAAATCCTTTCCTATGGAATAGCTTTGCTGCTAGGACTTCTTACAGCTGCAGGACTAGAGGCAGTGGTTATGTTCTAAATAGGTTGCTTTCCTGGATCTTTCCCAAATACACTTGTGGAAGCCTGGTTTGACAACACTGTGGGTGCTGGCACAGAGGCAAGATTGTACTTGAAGTGTGGGCAGGCCTAGAGAGATCTGCTGCCCCATTAATTAGGAGGGAAAATGTGAATAAAGACATCTCAGCAATCAGTGCGTAGGCTGACGCTTCCCATGCTTTGTTATCATATGCCTAGCTCCTTTCTAATTGCTTCTAGCCCTGAAGCTGATGTGGGAGGGCTGGCAGGCCTCTGGATGCCAGCCTTTCATTTCATCTTTGGGACAAGAAGTGTCTGGTTTTAGCTTGTGCTCTGATATAGGGGAATTTAGCAGGGAGGGAGACAGTGGATGCTCTTGCAAAGATGAAAACGTTGTCTTTAAACCGTCCAAGGGGGGGAGAGAGTGAGAATTCCCCTCCCTCCATTCTGTCAGTTTAACAGTGTGAAGAAGCCAACAGTTTGATACTTTTCAGTGAGATGAAAAGGATTGACTCTAATTCCTGGGTTTGGACCTTACCCAAAGCATTTTGAATTAGTGGAAAGAACCTGTGCTGAGAAATGGCCTGTTGCTTCTATGGTCTGTCATTTGAGTATGGTGTCTAAGTCACTCTGACCTTGAGTATTGAGAGAGCATGATGGTTTCCTTCCATGACAAATTTCCTCCAAGAGCATTCCCTCCCTCTCTTCCTCTTGGTCTTACTATTTCCTTGGTATCTGGAATGAAAAACATGATGCTCCTTTCCCCACACTTCTTCGTTCTGTGTCTCATGCTTTGAGGTTTCTAACAATTGCTGCTTGCCAAAGCTTTCAGAAAGGTACTTTACACAGTAAGAACTGAAGTAACTGCAGCCTCTGACAGGCCATGGAAGTGGGATTTATCTGGGGCCCAAGAACATCGCTGGAATCAGAGCATTTAAGGCTAAGGTGGCCCATGTGGTTTTTGTGGTGAAAGATCCCAGAAGGAGTCTTGGTATCTCTAGCGCCTTGAGGTCAAGCCAAACATCTACCTTTGGCAGTTGAATTTTACTGCTGTTTCAGGAGATTTGTGCGTTCCCTGCGTGTTGTGGTTGGTGTGCAGGCTGAGTTATCCTTTTCTTTAATAACAAATAAGTCAATGCGTTGCTTTGCGCCGTGGTTATCACTGAAAAGCTAACCTGACAGTTCACATCTCAATTCTCTGTACCTGGTTACTGTTTTCCACCCCGAAGTCAACTATGGAATGAGTGAGGGAGACATGGAGATAGGAAATGAACTGAGGAAGAGAAGCTGCCCATGGTTTGTACAGATGGCTGGACACTAACTTCTTTATTTGCATTCGTTCTGCTAACTGAAATAACTGCACAAGCAGTTAGTTTCTCAGATATAAATTCCTGCAGCCTTTGGAGCAGGTCGGTGAATGTGCTGCTGTAAGACAGCAAATGCAGCAGGGAGCTCTGGTTGGCATGAGCTTTAATGGAATATTTCGCCCAGAGAACCTCTCCCTGCGTTGTCTATTTCTATGAGCAAAAGAATAACAAAGCCACAGAGGGCATGAAGAAACAAGAGTGTTTTATCAGTGATAATTTTCTGGTGCCTAAAATTGCCTTCCATGCTCAGCCAGTGGTTTTGGAATTATGTTGCTGATTCTGCTAATGGTTGTAACACGAAAGGAACGAACTAACTATGCTGTGCAGTTTTGCACATACAGGGCTTGGATCTGCTCTTTCAGTGGGGTAAATAAAAAAATAGCCTTACCAAAAATGATGGCATAGTGACAGTATAAGAACAGAATCAAGCTCCTTTCATAGTCTTTGTGTTGGGTTAGCTGTTGTATTGTCCGTGTGTGTATACACAAAGAAAAGAGATCTCCTTTTGTGTGTATATATGTCCACATAGGCACACGTCAGTGAACATGGATAAATACAGACACATAAAAATCATTGTATGAAACCTAGTTGTTCTGCAGTTCATTATTACTGTTTTCCCATTATATATGTGTAATCTTATGAGAAAGCCTAAAGGGGGCCTACAAGAAAGATGCATAGGGGCTTTTTGCAAGGGCATGTAGTGATAGGGCAAGGGGCAATGGCTTTAAAATGAAAGAGGGTATGTTTAGATTAGATATAAGGAAGAAATTTTTCCCTCAGAGGGTGGTGAAACTCTGGAACAGGTTGCCCAGAGAAGTTGTGAATGCCTCATACCTGGAAGTGTTCAAGGCCAGGTTGGATCAGGCTTTGGGCAACCTGGTGTAGTGGAAGGTGTCCCTGCCCATGGCAGGGGGATTGGAACTAGATGGTGTTGAAGGTGCCTTCCAACCCCAACCATTCTATAATTCTATAAATGCTGCTGCTGTTGGCACAGGGATATATTTTCACCACCATATGCACACATAAAACATTTCTAGTAAAATTCTGTGAAATTTAAGACTACAGCTAGATCTTAGTCAATAAGGACTTGGAACTATTCTTTTGTGAGCCTTGCCTGGGATTTGCTGAATAAAGTCAGGTTAGTCATTTCACTTCTTCTACCAGGTAGTAACTCTGTACACAAACACCACCAAACCCAAATATTTGCAGCCTCCTTCCTTCCAAAGAGAAAGCTAAGTAAATTATTCCTACCCTGCACTGTGAAAGCTAGCAATTTCTGGCTGTGATGAACCAGAATGGAGAGGCAATTAACTTCCTTCTGGTACTTGAGCAAAGGTGTTCCACTACTTCTTTTTAGTGTAGCAGCATGTGTGGCAACACTACTGTGAATTTGTTCACCGTGTCTCAGGCCCCTTTCACCATCTAGTATTGGAAAGCATACTCAAATGTTGGGGTGTCGAGATCACTCAATCCTGCATTTGTGCATGTTTTAGGGACGTAGCAGTGTGCGTGCCTTCGGAGTCAGATTCGAGCAGCTCTTTTGTCCCATCGGACCAATGTGGGGCACATCTCTCGGGACAGTGTTTGTGGGAATGCGTTCACATTGCACAGAATGCCCTTGTGGTGGAAGCAGAGTCTGACTAATGTGCTTTCTTGGCCCATCGAAGCCGCTCCTGCTTCTCCCCAGCTCTAGCCAAATTCCTATCATGCAGGCCAAAACAAACAATAAACATTTATCCCAGAGTTTATTTCAGTCTGAGTCTGATAATCTGCTGCAAGTTTGACTTAAGACTGCTTCCTTGCCATGAGGAGAAGCTGCAGGCTATTTCACTAGGTTTTTGCCTATTCTGTAGAATCCAAGGCTAGAACAAAATTAAACTAAGTATAGAATCTGTAAGAATCCAAGCAGTTGTTTTTTAAGAGTATCAAAGCCATCTGACTTAGACCCAAAATGGGTAGAAAACCTCTGGAAACTTATATAAGTGTTTCCTCTGTACTTGTATCACAAAAACAGTGTATAAGGTTCCAGATTTTTAAGCCTGGAGGCACTGCTTGGCCCCATCTAGGACATTGTTAGGAGTCACAGGGAATTCATGACTCAAATAATGGAAGAACAGAAAATCAGTGGAAGCTAGAGGCCACTAGGACCAGCAGAGCAAAGGGATGCAGCAGGCACAGTCTGAGTCAAGATGAGTTAGAAGAGTTGGGCAGTGAGCAAAAAGGGCATCTTCTGATGCTCATAGTGGTCATTTTGCCTTTTGTGGGCATCAAATGCTGAGAGAGAGACCGTCTGGAAGGTGTGTTCTGGGGAGATTTTTTAAGCTTTGTTCTCATGGATGTGAGCTTGTTCTTTGTTGTGGGCAGAGGTAATTGTCAAGAGTGCTGGGGACTTGTTCAGGGTCTGCTTTTCTTATCTTACAGCCTCTGGCCAAAGGAGCTTTTCTCCGGGGGACAGGATTAAATCTGGCAACAGGACGTTTCACAGCACCTGTGTCTGGCATCTACCAGTTTTCAGCTAATGTCCACATAGGTGAGTGGTGTTCACAGAAACCTTTTCTGTATTGCTTGAGAGGTGCAGGAAGGAGTCCTTGAGAACTCTGTGGCTCTCTGGGTCCTGTTTGATTTGAAGCATGTGCAATGGCAGCCCTTTGCAGTGAGCTGTCCCTTTGGTGCCATGACCCAAAAACGTGTCCTTAGAGCTGGGTGCTTTAACAGACTGATAGCCACAGCAGGCTGCTCCATGCAAACCAAACAAATCAACAGTCCTTACGGAGGATGAGTTGAGCGATCGAATATATTCACATACAGAAGTTATGGCTTCCGTAAAAGACTTAAGAAGAAAATGAACATGATGATGTAGAACTGCACCAAGACTGTGTTTTGTCACCAGTGCATTTGTTCAAAGGTTTGAATCATTCAGTGACAAAGTGTTTTATAATCCAACACCAGAAGCGTGCTTTCCTAAGAAGTCACAATGTTACTGGTGCCACTGTGAAGCTAAATACCAGCAACTGGTGGTCTGTTATGTTGCAAAAGCACTTATATTTCTTCCCTGCTTTCTCCAGACCACAGTGAGTTGAAGACTAAAGTCCAACTCCGAGCCAGAGATAATGTCCGAGTGTTGATCTGCATTGAATCTCTGTGCCACCGATACACGTGAGTCACTGCAGTGCTGTCTTGGCAATTATTTTTCTCAGATGAGTCGATGTTTCAACCAACTGTGGAAGTTGGGTTCACCAACAGTGAATTTTATACAATAAATCCTTGCAGAACTTTTCTGAAGAGAGTGATTCCATCTGGCCCTTAGGTTTTATGTGGTTTTATTATTCTGATTTTTAACCTTTCATTGCTAGTTACTCTAAATAGATAAATGTTGCATATGTTGAGAGAATTGTGAAGGAAGTCAGCCAAAACTGGATGTAGCTAAAGGTGCTGAATGCTCAGCTATCATCACAAACACAGAGTGACAGAAACACTTGAATTTTGTGCCAGAGGTTATTAACTCCATTTTTATAATTTCAGCTGCATCCTGAATGGATCACAGCATCTCCTGTTGTCCTAAAAGTGTTGGAGTGATTAGGAGGATGAATAGGTGGAAAATAGAGGTGAATGAGTCCTGAGGCAGAAAGTGCAGGGCTTGCATATAGGCATGTGATGCCTTCTCACAGCCCTCCCTGAGCTTCCTTGCTCAGATAGCCATGCTGAATTTTCCTCTGCTGGGATCCATTAGCAAAGCTCTGGTGAAGAAACACTTTTGTTAGGCCCTGGCAGCCTTGGGTGTTGCTCGTTATGCCATGACACCAACGTACCGTTGGCCACTCTTCTCTGCTGTTCTTCTATCATCCTTTCAGCTGCAGCATATGGGTGCCCTGTGTCTCCGAGAAGGCCAGCTTGCTCGGGAGGAGTTTGGCAAGCTTTGCTTGGGGGAAGGGGCTGGGAGCCCCTGGGCTGGGCTGAATTGCACCCAGCAGAGGGCAATGCTGCTAGCATCCAGCGGCCACCGCCTCTGCTTGCAGCTCGGCCCCTGTCACCGGAGGAAAAAAAACCTGTACAGAGGTTTGCTCTGCCCTGCCTGCAGCTCTTCCAGCTGCAGCAACACCCTTGCGATGGCACCACTGAAATATATCCATAGAACAACTCCACAGGTGCATCTTAAAACCCACAAAACCATACCCTTGCTGCTGGACTGGCTGCTCCGTGCGTCAGAGTGCTGCAAATAGGACTGACCTCTCCGCAGGCGTTTCGATTTAGAGGCTTTGTTGGCAGGTGAATTTGACATGAAGCCTCATGTGATAAATAAACCTCTCTTAGGTTTCGTTGGCCTGTGGAAAAGATTTGATTGGTATCTGGGTGCCCACTAGTAACTAGAGTAAGAAGGAGCTGTGCGCCCACTGATGGAAGGATGGGAAGTCAAGGAGCTTGCTGGCTGGAGCAACTGGCACCTCAGCCTCGTAGACTGTTTTATAGCAGTCTTTTATGATTGCAGCACTTAAAGTGAGGCAGCGACAGACTGGCTGCAGTTACAATGTCAGCAGAAGAAGGGGAGTAAAACTTCTTGCCCCTTGAAAGAACATCTTACATTCTGGTAAGCTGCAGAGCTTACGGGACACGTAATTTCTGGCACTTGTGAGAATTCCTTTAGGTCATGCTAAGAATGTACCTCAGCCTGATCTTGAAAACTGGGATACATGTTGACAATGAGTGATTCTGGGACAGTCCAGGCCTTTAATCACAGGGGTGAAAGAGGGATGAGTGGGACAGAACGTTACTATCCTTTTTACGAGTAGCTCTCACAATTGCCTTTGCACAGTGCAGATCCCTATTCCATAGCAGAGACCAGTCAGATTCAAGTTATCAGTTTTTTTTTCTTTCTTCAACATTGGTGCTTTTTTCTTTTCACCTACAACAATCTCCTCTTATCTTAGCAATTTCATCAAGAACAGGATTCATACTCTTAGCCCTTGCATTCCCCATGAACAGAGATTGCAAGTTCCACAAAATCGTTTTCTACATGCCTTTGGGATATGGAAGGATGTTCCCATTGGGATGTGGAAAAATATTGCCAGTTGGTTGTTGACTTGATGATATTTCAATAGAGATTTGAGTGAACAATTGAGTGAGATTTATGAAGCCACCTAAGAGGATTTAAAAGTGAAATTGGTCTTGCAGAGCTCCAAGAGTGAAAACCTGTTCTCCCATCCTGATCTCCACTCTATATTGTGTCTTCAGTTACAGAATCATACAGAAAACCTAAATTCCATTTAAACCATTTTGCAAAATAATGAAAGTGACAGCAGTGGGTTTTTCTTCCTAATTATTCCACAAGCTCCCAACAGATTTGATCAAGACATCTGAGAGAGAGCCAAGTGTTTTTCTTCTGGAAGGCCCACTTCTGTCTCCAAGGACAGTGTCTGAGTCTCTCTGCTTTCCATTCAGTCAATCTTACAGTAATAATACTTCAGAATAGATGTCAGTCTCTGATTGTTTTCAGCACGAGTGAAAGTTCTGCTAAATGCAAGTACAAGAGTTATCTGAGTAGGAAGTGTCGCTGCGGGCCATGGAAACAACTGTGCCTTCCTCATTGCAGGTCTTTTTAGCTGAAAGCTCCTAGGAAACTGTTCTGGTTCTAGCTGGGATGTGTGAACAACCTCTTTGTCACATACAGCCCAGGCAGCTTTATTGGGATGTTTTGAGATTAACTTGCCATCTGAAGCATTTATAGCTACATTCTCCGAAGAACAGTAACACTAAACACTTATTTTCTTAGACAGAACTGACTCAGATGTTAATTGTTTAGATAAAGCTCTTTGATGTCTGACTCAGAGTTTTCATCAGTTGTCCAGGGTCGGAATTTATGATTGGTTGTCCTGAGCTGAGTGAGCTGGACAGCAGTGGGAGTAAAGCAGAATCAGCACTGGCTCTATGAGAGACATCTCTCTCTCAAACGGTGGGTGAGAGCATGGCTGGTCTGTGGCATGGAAGGAAGATGGGTGGAGGGATGGGAACCTGTCTGGACAGACATTCTGCTGGCACAGACTGAGCTGCTACCTGTGCTTGTGGAATTTCCTGGGGATGTCAGCGTACACAGTCATTCATTTGAGGGAGCTGAAAGAGCCCTGAGGGCTTTCGGCTGAGAGAGATGGAAACTCGGAGGCAAGGAGACAGTTGGAGTAGAAGAGATTAATGGTGGGAAGTTCCCACCCAAGTTAGGCTTTTGGCAGGATATGACACACAGACTGAGCTCTTCAATCAAAGTGGTGCCAAGTGGCTCGCTCTCTCTGGGCCAAATTGCCCCTACCTTTTATGCATATTGTTTCCTTGCAAGGGGGCTAGAAACAGCACGTTTGCACTTGCTAGGTTTCGTCACCACCACTTCATGGAAAAAAGGGAGGAAAAGGGTTGGTTTTCTTGGGAAAACAACTGGATCTGTTACCACAGCTAGGCAGAAATCAGAAGAACTGGCCAGACATGGAGCTCTGTGCTTTGATGTTGCTTTGGAACTGAGCTTACGTGGGTTGTTCTGTTCTCCTTCCACCTTAAATCCTGTACGAAGGAGCTGAGTTGGTAAACAGAGGATGCCACAGAGAGCAGCTGTCCTACCTCTTGCTACTGCAAGGGATATCATGGCTATTAGAACGTGGCATTAGAAAAGAACAGTGCTTGAGGGGTGATCTGGAGCTCTCCCTTGAATTTTAATTGAAACACAATTTCTAATTTTTTTTTGGCTCATATATGGCCCCTGATCCAAATGTCCTCCCAAAACAGCTTTTAGCTGCAGAGTGTGTTCTTTGTTGCATAGCCTGACTACATATGTTTTTACGATCAAATAGGCCTTTCATACCTTGAAAACGAATGGCAGAATGCATATAGCTAGCTCTTTGCAGTGTAACTGGAGTACGAACTATTGCGGTGGTCAACAAACTGGGGTAATTGGTAGGTAGATAAATCTAAAGCGCATGTTTATCACCTGTTCAAGGATGGGGGATAGAGACTACGGAACCTTGAGAAAGGCCTCTGTCAGAGAAGGTGGCTCCCAGTTCCTGCCTCCAGCTGAATTTTGCATTCACAATCCTGTATGCTCTGTAGATCTTCCATTAGACACTACAGGGAGGACAAGGTTCTGCTGTTCTCTTTTGAAGGCAGCTGATTACTGCTAGAAGCAAATCAACAGGCTCCTGTTTAGTACAGATGGGCACTAGAACCACCAGATCCCTGTTTCTAGGGATGTCATGAGACTATTGTTCCGCATACAACTGTTGAGACTTCCTTAGGTGTTTAACCTGTTTATTTTCCTTTTGCTACTGTTTAGGTCTTTGGAAGTCATTGCTGGTCTGGAAAGTAACAGCAAAATCTTCACTGTCTACGTACATGGCTTACTGCAGCTGCAGGTAAGCCCATGCAGACGGGGAACCACTGTACCAGTTTGCTTGGCAGGCTGTGGAGTTGTTTACTGGCAAGGCTGAATTCTCACCAGGAGGTGGGGAAGTTTTTATTAACCTTCTCTCTAAGGTTAATGAAGTTAAATGCCTTACCTGGGGTGACTAGAGGGAATCGGTGGCAGGAATAGGAACAAAATCCAGACTTACGTTGTATGTTCTGATGTTCAGGCACAGAAGTAACCTTCCCTCTAAGAAATGACAGTAAACGTTTTTCTTTCTCAAATCTGCCCTTGCATTGTTGAGATAGCAATCGTATTTCCCATTTCATAGGAGGGAATCTGAAGCACAGATGACCCAAAAAGATGCTGGTGCAGTAAGGATCTAGTTAAGTAATAAACCTGTAACGCAGTTTTGTTACAGAAAATTTCTTCCACCAAGTCAAAGCTGTACTACAGTAAAAATGTTTGGTCAGATCCTGTTCCCAGGAGCCACAGAAAAGGGCAGGAGGCTTCTGTGCTTCGTTCATGGTAGTGAAATGCTTTTTTTCCTTCTCTTACACTTTTCCTCCTTTCCCTCTTGTCCTCTCTGCAGGCTGGCCAGTACACCTCCATATTTGTGGACAACAGTGCTGGAGCTCCCATCACCATTCAGAATGGATCAGATTTCATGGGCATGTTAATGGGCGCATAACATCTGCAGCAGTGTAGCAGGGAAGGGTATGAATTAGAGCCTCGCAGCGTAAATTTGACTGCAGAAACCTTTACTTTGACTCTTGAAAACTGCTTCCTGTAACTGTTGGCGTCTCTTTAAACACGCAAAGAGCCTTTATTTCCACAGATACTTCAGCTTGCTTTCAGAGGCTGCTGCTTTTCAAGGTCCACACCAGTTCATTCATCATAAAAAATGTACTTTTATAATTCAGAAACAAGCTCTGTAATATTTAATTTGTGCTTCACCAGATGCTTACTGAACAATACACTGAGATTTGGATTTTTGTTATATTATAATTTTATTTCACAGTAGCACTTGTAACCAGCATGTGTTTTGGGATTGATTGTGGAGTGTTTGAGTTTGTAAATGAAGGATGGAGAGAGGAAGTAAAGTAGTGACTATATTCTATGTGCTGTGGAGGAAGGAGACAAGGATTTGCCAGCAAAACTGCTTTTATCATACAATTGTAGATGGTATAGGCCCTCTCTCGTGTTCAGAATTGGATGTATTTGACAAGAAGCATGTTGAATTCTCAGACAATGCCTGCTTCACCGATGCAAATCCAAGCTCTGAACTCTTTTAGTTGTGGTTCTTTGTATCTAAGTATTTCCTTGATCTTATTGATGAAGCCGAATACCTCGCTGCCTGTGCAGTTTTGTTTTTATGAAAAGGTAAGGCCAACGGCGCCAGTTCTAGCAGGAACTCCCTTACTTATGTTCTTATGTTTTAGTAAGATACACACGTGGTTTTGGACTGCATCACATAAATGGCATCCTCCCAGGTGCCATGTAATAGTCTGTAAATGTGTCAAATGCATTACACTGGTTGCCAAAAGCCTGGCAAATATGTGTGTAGCAGCCTTGGATCAGATATGTCACCTGTTTGATGCTTGTTGAACTGCAGTGAAATAATGAGAGAAAACACGGGGCAAGGCTTACTTCCATCAGGGTCATAGGGGGTCTATCAGAGTTTTACTTGGAGGTTGAGGGTGCTGTCAAAGACCGTCCAAAAGATCATTCAGTGAATGTATTCTGAATTTCTACAAATCTGTTTGCAAATGTAAGCGTGTGAGGTTGAGCTCCCAAACCAGCTTTGCATATACCTCCAGGCTATAAACTCATTTTAACAAAGTAAAAGGGTGTTAAAATTTCATGAAGTTGAGTTGTTACCTAAGATGTGGTAACATCATTATGATTAAAAAAACCCACACTCATTTAATGTGCCTCCATAGCTTTCCCTTTCAGCAGACACCTGGCCCTTTTATTGATTCAACTTTGCTAAGGAAAGTGTCATAAATAGGTGGAAGCAAGGCCCAAAATGGAGTCCAGATACTTATTCTTGAATGTTTGCAGTGAATGGAAGATATCTCCTGTATAGTGTTGCAATTTTTGATCAACTACAATATCTGTGTGCAATGAAAACAAAGACTGCTCAGGACAGCAGAAGGCATGAAAATAAATGTCATCCATTGCTGGGTCTGTTGTTCAGGTTGATCGATATATGATGTTTCTACAAGCTCCCGTAACACTGCTGTTGAGGTTGGCGATAGACAAAGGTGTCTTATTTCAAGAGCTGTGAAAAAAAATCTGCTGTAAAATAGGCATGCCTGAAACTATTTCTATCATCTCCGTTATAAATACCTTGAGACAGGTCTTTAAGGGAGGACTAAATGGTATTTTTTTCCTTTGTGAAGAACATTACAGTGAGCCTATTGGAGGAGGAAGGAGAGGGTACATGGAATAATCAAGTAGTGCTGTTACACAAGTAAACGCAGGTGGATTCCACTTTCTAGTCAATGGAATGCAGTTGGTCTAATTGAACCTGTGTGACTGTCTAAAATGTAGCAGCTATCAATGATAATATATTAAATCTTGCTCCACAATACATGCCAGAATTCCTATGGATTTTTTTGTGGTACACTTGGGAAAGAATGTACTGGGTGCTCCACTGGCAGAGGGGAGTCCACAGCTATTGAAAGGCATGGCAAATAGCAACAGTAGTCACTTCTGGAGCTTCAGAAAGCGCACGACACTCATGAATATCACTAAACCCTGTCAATAAAGATTGACTGTTTACACTGGCTTTCCATGGAGGAAGTGTAGCCAGGGCAAGTGGCCTATATCCCAGCATGTATTGCTATACTGTCCTTTGTACTGTGTGAATATTTGTAATAAATTGGGCTGTATCGTGCATGCCTTACAGACATATAATCAAAGTGTTGTGACATTCAGCATATTGTTATATCTATAGATTTTTTTTTGAACCAAGTCTCACTGTTCTTGGTAAATCAGAGTTAAAATATTTATTTTGCTGTAGAACTAAAAATGTTTGTCAGACTTTGCTTTGGGATTTGTGACTTTTCTTCCCTTCTTTGCTGTGTTTTACTCTCATGATCTTCTTAGTAGGAGATTAGTTGTTCTTCCTTTATACCTCTTCTGCCTGATTTATACAAGGAGTGCTGTCCTGACAGGTGTTTCCCCAGTGTGCTAGAAGCCACCTCAATGCATAGTGAGATAGTCCTGAGGAACACACAGCCTAAACAGGGAAGGATTAAAATCTGCCTTGGCAGGAGGAGTGATTTGCCTGTGAACACTGTCAGAGAGAGAAGTAAACCTCGTCTCTGGTGTCTATCTGTAAGCCACCTTGCCCTTCTGCTCTAGGCGGCAGAGAAAGCTTGTGTCAGACTCGGATGGCATTGGGAAAAGAAGCCAAATGAGCAGAGGAAATGGACATCATGTCTCTTGATTTGTCCTGAGTTCACTATCACCAGTGGAAAGCTTGTGAGGTTTTGATCAGCTCTTATTATCCTCAGGACAGGGGCTTGTCCCTTAAGGAGCTTTCCTGTGCACCACCAAGGTCTTTTAACCAAAAGACTTTTTTTTAAGACTCTTTTAGCTCTGAATGCTACCAGGCTGCAGTTCTCCTGTATCCTGGGGCTTCAGCCAGCAGTCAGTGCGAGCATGAGGTTGTCTGTCCAGCGGTAATATGGGGCAGAATGGACTGAAACAGCCAAGAAGCAAGCAAACTGAGACTGGGCCACCAGTGTTGAGGTGCAAGCGTACAAAACTCATGACTAATATGGACACCAGCCTCCTGGCTGGCCTATGGCTGAGACAAACACTCTGCAAGGCTTCCGTGTTGTTTGGAGAGTGAGGAGATTAATGGTGTGCGAAGCAGAGTTTCAATGCTCCTCTGTAGTCATAAAATTTATAGTCCAAGAAAATTTAAGAACTTGAGAGGACTGAGTTCAGTGTGAAGAAGTTGTTTATAACAAAATAAACCTCATGTGCTTGAGCTTATAATTTAATGGCCAAGTGTATTAATCCCACCCAGTGGCGATGACTGTGGCATGCAAGGGGAGAAGGCTAAAGGAGGTGCAAATCAAATGGCCGTGGTTTTTGTATGAGCTGAGGCAAGAGGATACGATGGGGGCACCTCACTACTGAGGTCCTAGCAGAAAAGGAAACACAAACAGTTGCTGCTTTTTTTTTTTTTTCCTTTAAAATTTCTAAGTAGTTTAGGGTTTCAGGGAAGCTGAAGGTGAGGAAAAACACCTCTTCTTACTGGAACAAACTTTCTTCTTACCCTCATCTTTGAGTTCTTCACAGAAACGTTTGCCACATAATCACCCTCAAAAAGTTTCAAACATTAATAACTTGTACTTGCAGTGATAACCTTGTCCAGGTACTATATTATATTCTAGTTCAAGAACACTTTCAAAAAGGTTATTATGACACCCCACACGGAGCAGTTAATATTTACTAAAACTTTGCTGTCTTCACCATGCCCTTGATCGCTTATCTTCCTCCCAGCCCCTTCCTCTGCAAAGGCCTCATTCAATCTTTGCAACAATCTACATCAACGTTTTTGCTGTGTATACAGTTCGGATCCAGACAAAACTAATGCAAGTCACCATGGTTTTGTTGGGGTTAATGCCCTGTGCAGATCTCTCGCAAATGAGGGTTTTGAGAGAGTCTCTCATGTTAATTTTTCCTACCTGGGAGCTTCTTAATTCCAAGATACTGACACTGAATTTGATGCTTCAGTCCCAAATGACTCTCTGAGCTCGATAGTCTCATTGTTGTACGCTGCGTTGCTCTGGTTGCTATGCTCCCCTCTTGCACAGGCTGCAATGTAAACAGACTGCTTTGCTGCTGAGCTTATATTTCAGGAACAATAAACCAAACCATCCTAGGATGAGCATTGACTGCTGATTTCAATGTCTATAAAAGTTATTATCTTCACTCATAATTCCTTATTCTAAACAGAGTCCAGCTATAAGTTTCCAGCTTCAGGCTAAAGTTACTTGCTTAGCATGATGGTAAATATCATCGCCTCATGCTTCTGGAACATGCTTCTGTCCTTGTCTCAAAGGTCTAGGCTAGGTAGTGTTGCTAGCAGGTTTTTTAGCTCCTTCTATGTTGGGTGCCCTCATAAAACCTGCTAAGGCTGGTGGAAAATCTGGCAAAAATGCTAGCGATTCATCCCAGAGTATAGGCATTTGGTCTAGCTCAGGGCTTAACTCCAGAATTGCCTTTCAGGTGTGTTTCTGATGGCATGGCCACTATAAACTTTGTCCTATGAGCTATATGGACACAGTGTTGTGATCCCACTACTTTTCACTATTCCTGTGTTTACCATCGTGCTAGCTGGCTCAGAAGGGCACGGTGCGGTGCTGGATCAGCCCTTCAGACGTGGAATCTTCAGCGAGTTCTTTCTATTTGGTTCACATGGGAACTTGAAGTAGCCCTTGGACAGAGTCAGGAGCTGAGCAAAGCTACTTCCCTAACGCCAGGGCTGTCCAGTTTGCACCCTTGCACTCTCTGCTAACTGCTTCAGACAAATAAAAGCAGCCATGCAGGCACTGAGATTCCAGTTGCAGGCACTCTCTGAATATTTTCCCTGGCTGGGAGCTGACAGGTTATGAGGTTTTAAGTTCTATTCAAATTTCACGTTTTGTAAATGATTTCGATGCCACACTCCAGACTGACTCCAGGGGTATTTATGTTGGATTAGCAGCAGATTGCCTGCCTTTCCTCACTCCATAGAAGACAGCCCAGCACATGTAAACTCCCCTTGAATGGCGGGCTGTTAACCGTCAAGCAAAATGATTAGTTTGTCATATAAAACTCTTGTTATAAATAGGCACAGGTTATAAATCAGTCCTGAGAACAACGATGAAA